CCCAGATTGCACATAGTGGTGGCTGCACTAGTGCTACCATCCATGTTTTCTGGTGTTTGCTGGGATTTTAGCAAAAGGGAGGAAAATGCTTGTGTATACATGGCTGTTTAATTGTTTCCTGAACAGACTTGTCTCCTGGAGCCACCAGCTTCCTGGGCAGGACTGGTGTTGAAATGAGTGGTAGAAAAATAATGAATAGAATAATCCTTATCAGGAATAATGTTTAGAGTCATTAGGTATTAGAATTAATAATTATTTCTAATAATTATTAGAATTATTAGATCTGGAGCAAAATGGTCTCCATGGTGTCTGGACAGTCCATCCCTTCCTGGGATGATTCAGTAGCAGGTTGTCCTCTTTGTGGTCTCCGGAGGGAGGGGAGCAGGACAGGCTGACCCAGCTGAATCACCCTGCAAGCCTCCTCTTGCCTGGTTAGAGACTGTAAATCAGGAGGAAAAGTAGTTTGTGTGTTGAAGTGACACTGGGGAGGAGCATGGCTTTGGACAGGAGTCCTTGGATGGGGTTTTAGGGACAGCACAAGGATGTTTGCTTTGCCCCTGCCTCTGGGTGAACATTGGGCAGGACAACCGTGCACCATCTGAAGGGAAATTGCTTGGGTTGTTCCCGTGGGGAGCAGGCTGCTGGGCTTGCTCAGTACCTTCCTGAGCCAACAGGACATATTGGTGCTCTCATGCTTGTCTTCAAGCCAACACCTATCTTGGAGTTAGCTGCATGTCTCACATACATGGGTCATCCCATGCTCATTGTGCTCATCTCAGCTGTGTCATGGGTTCAGGGGGCCATCACACTGCAAAGCACCCACCACCCTGCACATCTGCCTTTTTGAGCAAGTGGGTATTGTGTGAATGGGGAGCAAATAAATCTTTTCCAATGCACAACAAATTGGGAAAATTATTTATTTCTTCTGCATCTGTAGGCAGGCACAAGACCCGAAGAGCGATGAGGATGTATTCCCTGATCAAGCAATTCCTTGGCTCTCTTTGAGCTTGGAAAGCAGGGGGAGAGGTAGGAAAACCTGTGTGCCCACTTAGAAGGTTCATATCCAGGTTAGAGGAGCTGGATCCTGCTGACCTGAGGAGGATTTTCAGTTCTTCCCACAGCTGTGTCCCACACAGCAGCTCATGGGAATGGAGCAGCTCTGTGCAAACCCCTTCCTAGCAATGACCACCATCCTTGGTCCTTCCAAACCAGTTTCCCCATCTGCTGTTTCTCCATCTGGCTTCAGATCCCAGTGACCCCTCCCAAACCCCAGAACAGAAATGGTTCGAAAGATTTCTTCCAAGAGTTAGTTTGATCCATCCAGCGGGGGAACAAAGGCACGGCATGGTTGCAGGGTTTTGGGTCAGAGCAAGGACATCTCCCAGCCAAGCTAGTGTCCTCACCTCTTCACCTCAGCACAAGTTCAGATGAGAGAGGACAGCAAGTGACTGTCAAACCCCAGAGATCCAGACTCATCACCCAGACAGGAGCAGACAGGAAATACTGAAGACAAAACTACTGACGTCAGCCAGGATTTGGCTCCAGGACTCATTCCCCGTGGGTGAAAGGGGAATGAGTACTGGAGAAGCACCAGCATCTTTCAACACTTTTCCTTGCTCTTTATGGCTCTTGGGAAATTGCTGCCTGCCAGGGTCTTCTGGCTTTCAGCTGATTGCTCCTGGCACTGGAAGTAGACCTTGAGCTTGCTCAGGTTTTGGACTTCCTTTTCGGAGCTGTGCCATTGAGCATTGATGAAACGGCACACTTTCTGGAGCCCCTTCTGGGGGTTGTTCTGGTAGCAGGACCAGAGCTCAGAGAGGCCGATGTTGTGGGTGGCCAATGTTTGGGCTGATTGCTTGGTGAGGAGTTTCTTTGCTAACAAGGGCTGGAGAGAGACAAAGGACTCCAGGCTGACTTGACTGAGGATCAGCCTGGGTTTCTTCACCAGGTTGACGTCCAGGACCTCACACAGGTACTTCACGATGTTGGCATTCTCCATGGTGCTGCAGTCACCGAAATGCCTCCAGAGGTAAGTGTTGGCCAAGTTCTTCAGCTTGTAGTTATCCTCCTCAGGGATCTTCTCCTTAATCAGGGGCAAAATGTCCAGGAAACCATACACAACAGAGCTGAACTCCTCTTTCTTGTTCATGACTGTCAGTGCTTTCAAGAGGGTGGGAAAGAGGAGTGACCAGAGACCAAAGCCACCGAGGATGGGCCTGTGGACAGTGTTGAGGTGGCACAGCAGATTACTCAGACCGATCTCATAGACACTATTTTTGGCCATCAAGCTGGACAAATATTTCACTGGCTGAATCAAAACTGGGAATATTTTCTCTCCATCTACCACCATCATTTGAATGCTTTCATTTTCTAGAGAAGAGGAGGGGGAAAGGAAAGAGGATTGGAGAGGGTGGAAAGGCAGAATTAGTCTCCTATTCAGTAGGAAAATGAAACACTGATTGTGTTGATCAGCCTCTAACAGCCTTTGCCATCAATAGTGGCTGGGGGACTGATCCATCATTCAGTCACAACGTCAGCTTCCAGCATCTTAAATGTCCTTCAGGAGTGTCTTTCCCATCAACACTAACACCGTCTGCAGTGGGACCATTCCCCCCACCAGGAACATGAGGGTCTTTGCAGCTTTTTGAGGGTGGACTAAGGAAAGGAGCTTGAAAAGTAAAAGCCACCTCATCCAAGAGAGATTGGCCCATGGGAAGGAGAAGCAGGGGAGCCCATGTTGATACAATGGTGCAAGGGCTGATTAACTGGCTGAGCAATCTCAGAGAAATCTCCCCATGGTCCCATGGGCTCCATGTTCCTTCAGATGTCCTGAAACTCAAAGGCAAGGCCTCTTGGGAGCTCAGGATATATTCCTATTCCTTACATAGCCAAGGCCATGGTGGACATGCCTGAACTTCCCCCTTCATAAAAAAGAGATACTGACAGATGTGGGAATCTGAGCTGGCTGCAACATGGGACCTCCCCACTTCCGATCTTACTCAAAATTTTCACATCAAAGAAGACCAGAGATCCTTGTCTTGTATCCACTGTGTTCTGGCTGCTGATGGGAAGGCCCAGGTAGTCTTCACCACTGCTCTCATCGAGGATGTTGCTGAGGTCATCTAGCAGACTGCAGTCCTGGAAGAACATATAATTTTCTTTTAATAAACATCACAGGAAGAACTGCGATGAGCAGCAGCTCTGGGCACTTGTGTGTCCTGGAGGCTACCAAAGCTCAGGGATCTACTTAAACTGCCTGCTAGAGGACTTAGGATGTAATAAGCCCCTCTGGTTTGTCATGAAGACTTGCCTCCTCCAGCACTGCATACTCCATGCATGTCCACACAGGACGGCTCACTTAAATCCTTCCTGACTGGCTTTCTGCTCATAAGTGACAGACAAGTTGGAGCTACCCAAAATCTCCCACCTGACTGTGAGTTAGGGGACTAAACCAGCAAACAGCAGGCAAGGAAGGGAAGCTGCGCATTTCTAAAACCTCTTCTGAAGAGCTGGTCACCAGCTTTTGGTCATGCAGACTGACATGGGAACTGCTCAGTGCTGCAAAGTAACAACAAAACCCCATCCATCCATAGCCTCAAAGAGGAGGGAAGGTTTTGGACTGCCTCTTCTTGCTGGCCTTCATTTTGTCTGCTCACCACCTTGGCATCACTGAGATGGTATCTACTAAAGTCTCCAAGATGCTGGGCAGCCCAGTTCCCCCAGAAGTGGAAGAGAGCTAAAGGGGATTTATTTTGGCACTCAGGAAGAATTTCACAAGTTCCTTGTCAGGCTTTAAGGGGGATTATGGGATGGTCCCGAAGGTTGGAAGCACCAAGTAGTCCAGTCTTCATGGCTTAAAAGATGAGCAATGCAGGGTCAAGCACTGAAAACCCTTTAGCTCCACTCACCGTTGACTTCTCATCCGTGTTGCCCACCTCAAAGCTGTCCAAGAAGAGAGTATCACTGCCTGCCAAGGTAGGAAAGATGTGTCCCCCCACCTTTCAGATGTGGGGGTCTCACTCACCACCCCTGCAGTGAGTGCCAGGGCCGATGGTCCCCTGATGGGCATCACTAATCATGCCGAGAGGTGACCCTGGACAGCCATCAAGGTGGGTGAGGAGCAAGCAAGGAGCAACTCTGTTCTGAGGGTCCACCTGAAAAATGACTGATTCCCCCTCAAGTCACAGATAAAGCGTATACACTGGGCAAGATCCTACAAGGGAGAGAGGACCAAAATGTGGCATCACATAGCCTAAGAGTATGCAAGCAGTTGAGGGAACAAAGTCTTGTTCTCCACCAAAGATCTTATCTTTGAACAAGACAATGCACTGGGACAAAACTATCTTCCTGGGAGGTCAATGTAGATGCTGCAAATTGCCCTGCCTCAGTGCCTACACCCTGTAAAGTTTACCTGTGGCTTCACTGCTCTGGACACTGCTTACCTGAGCCATGCAGCCCACTGTTGCCATCTGGCACGTCTTCCAGCAGGCTGTCCTCCTTGGTTGGAGTCATAGGGGACACTGAACAGCTAGACCCAGACTTGTTCCAGCAGCTTGGCTGTTGCGGCACCATCTGGTTCCACTCATCATCATTGTCTTCGACCTTCATCACCTTCACTGGCAATGTCAGGACATTTGCATTTTGGACTTTCTTCCTCTTTGCAGGGGTGGAGGAGGAGACCTAAGTGTGCAAAGAGGAGCCCAGTCAAAACAGCCCTGCGTGGTCAGAGACGGAGATGTCTTTTGCTACAGGAGCACAGCTGAACAAGCTTGACCACATGGGTTCATCCCTGCCCAAAGCAAGCACTCTTCTTGCCCAGATGGTCTCTGCTGTTCTGGAGTCACCAGCACCATGTCCTGAAGGCCCGGGCTCTCTCCAGCCACCTCAGCCAAGGTCCCCTCTCTGCCTGACAAGAGTCAGGAAAACTTTCTGCTTTGCTTAATGGCTGCAAAGGAGAAGATGGGAACCTCCTCTTCCTGAGCTGGGGGAATAAATCATTTTTATCTCCTTCCTTCAGCCCTGAGGCTCCCAGGCTCTGCAGGGTTTGCAGGTGGGGCTAAGCCCTTCTGATCTCAGGCTGGGGTGACTGGAGATGTGTTCTGCAGCCTCAGGGTTAACCTGTGATTTTGATTTTCTCATTTATAAATTGTAGTGAATTACTGGTACTTCTCCTTTGTTGACATCTACCAGTGGACAATCTTTGCACTCTACTCCTTTGTCGGTATCTATCAGTGGACAATTTGTGAACCTCATGAAATCTACCCTGAGAGATGTCCCAGTTCAAGGGAGATACTGACTCACAGCCCACTGCGATCCTGGAGAGCTTTGAAGGTCTCATTTAGGATTGTTATTTATAGGATCATGAGCTGATTGACTTTGGTCAGTACCATTTTTTTTTTTTTCTCAATTTGGCCACAATTTGTGTTAGTTGATTCTGGTATCTCGGCAATCGTACAGTTCTGGTACTTTCCAGATTGTTCAGTTCTGGTACTACCAGACTGGGCTACGATCCAGGCAGCAGGAGTTTCGGGTATAGTCAGGGAGTGCCTGATCATCCCAACTCAATGCACTTGTCACCAATACAAGAACACAATGTTGGCTCATCCTGAGATCATAGTGGCTGCAGCACCACTGGGCCCCATATCCATCACAACCAGCCGCAGCATCTCTCCCTCACCAGCCCTAGATGTGGGCAGGGCAGGGTGTGAGCAGGAAATGACTTGCAAGCCACCGTGCCTGTAGGAGCTCTTTACAGGACCTGCGGCAGCATGTCTCATGCCGAGATGTTTGCAGCTTAGCTAGAAAGGTGCCTTCAAGGGACAAATTCTGTCCAGCTTGGCTGATCTCCTCTTTCAAAAGAGAACTTGGAAAGCTGTGACTAAATGCCAGAACTCAAGACCTTGCAAGGGCTGAGGGTAGCCTCAAATTCCTGCCGCATAACCCCAGGAGGCAAAAATCCAAGAGCAATGCAAGGAAACCCAAGACTCACCTGGTGGGAGTTTTCCATGGCTGAAGCTGGGGTGGCTTCTGAAAGAAGAAAAATACAGCAAGCTGAGAGGAGGGCAAGCAATGCTGGGGACATCTGAGAGCAGCGAGAAGACCCTAAAGAAGATGCAGGTGGCACTGGGGCCACCTGCTTGGAGGGTCACCTCTTGGAGATGCTGAAATCCAGCAGTGAGCCTGCAGGCTGGGCTGGAGAGGTGCCCATTCTGCTCGGCCACCCACCAGCTCATTCACCCATCCTTACACTAAAGGCTTTCCTCCAGCTCTCCCACACAAGTTTGCTGCCCTCTCACCCATCCCAGACCCATAAGCCAAGAGGTCACACATGTTGGGAAGGAAAGAAAAAAGAGAATTAGTAGGATCAAGCTGTTGCTGAGCAAGTTATTGCCATGCAGTGGCGCGGGCTCATTTGCAGGGGAGATGATGCCTTCCCAAACCCATCAAAAGACCAACGCACCATTCATCGCAGGAGGATTTATTGGCACAGCAAGGTGAGATGGAGAGTCTGGTCTCCATAGGGACCTTTAAAAGGTTTACCAAGCAGCCGCAGTCCATGGCAAATGTTCTGGTCTGCAGCCCCTCACTTCTTCCTCTGCTTATGAAGTCTGGTGCTTGGCTTCCCACCACGCTTGCACCTGGTGAGATGCATTGATTTGGGGCATTCCCCCTCGGATGCTGAGCTGGGGGGTTCCAAGTGCACTGGGCTGGCAGGGGTGGTGGCAGGAGGGGATCTGCTTGGGGAAGGGGATGCAGCAACCACTGGGACCAGTGGTTCATGCTTCTGTGGAGTGCTGGGAGGGAATAACTCCAGCAAGTCGGAGGGCAGTGATGGCCAGTCCTCATCTGTGGTGGGGTGGTCCTGTGGGCTGGCCATGGGCTGCAGGAAGGGCCCCACAGCAGAGGCGATGGTGGCCAGGGAGCAGGACATGGCCTGGATCTCCTGGGTCATGGACATCAGGTGCCTGTTTGCCTTGTGCTGAGCTTGTAGGAGGCGATTTTCAATCTTCAGGAGCATGTGCATTTGCTGCATGTTGGACCTGGTCCAGCCACTGAAATCTTCCTGTAGGGAGACTAGAGAGTCTTGGATGCTCCTGGGAAGAGGCACAGTGTCCCCACAGGCTGATCCTGAGTCTCCCTTTGATTCTTCATCCCTCTGTACCAGAAGGGCTGGAGGTGTGGGTTGGGTGGGGGACATATCCCCTCCCTGGTCTGGACACACATGTCTTCTGCTGCCAGAGGGGTCCAACATGGGGGCACAGGGCTGGTGGTGGGCAGGTAGCCCCACAGAGAGATATCCATGCGGTTGGCAATGCTCCCCAGGAGGCTCAAGGTCGAGGATCTGGGTGGTATCATCTTCAGATGGGGTGTCATGCTGGGGAGCAGAAGTACCTGTCACGGGGAGGGGGACTGAAGAGAGCAGGAGGGGAGAAGCAGGGCTTAGAGGGTTCTCCCAGCCTGCCTCAGTGGAGTGGAGAGGGGAGACGGAGGGATGATGTCTTCCATGCAATGGGGACACAAGCAGTGGGGCGGGAGGCAGCTTGTCCCCAATAAACACCAAGCTCCATTCAGGACGTCACCCCTGGGCTTTTCTATGGACCATCCATACCCCATGAGCTCCACCTGGGGAGCTCAGTGGTGGACACCCACAGAAGGACAAAGAGAATACTGGTCATAGCCCAGGTCTGAAGACAGCAGTATGAGGATGGAGCAGAAGACCCTGCAAAGTCTCTTCCTCCCTTTGCTTTTTCTCCCCCCATTTTCTGGAAGGATGCTACCACCTTCTAACCAAACCTGGATCCTCCAGCACACCATCCTTGCACACACCACAGATGTCAAGGCCTTCACCATTCCCAAACCACCAGCATCTCCACTACAGCCCTGCTGCTGAAATGCTGGAGCTATACTCCACAAGGGCAAAAGACAAATGTTGCTTTGGAAGTGATGGATGCAACAACTCCTCCCCATCCTTGAAGGAGGTTGGAGTGTCCCTGCCATATGAGCAAAGGCTGGAGGCACAAGTCCACCAAGTCACCACATGGAAGGAGACTTGAAACCCATGGAGATGATCTAACCAGGTATTATAACCTTCAGCTCTGGTTTTGGTCCCTCCCTCCCAGCCCATCCAGCCAAATGCCTCCTCACCTGGGTGCCCCGTGACACACTCCACCAGCGCCTGCAGCCTGGCTCTGCACTCCCCAAAGTCCCTGGGCTGCGTTCGGTCCCCAGCCGCCGCCGGCTCCAGCTGCTGCAGCTCCTCCAGCGATCCCTTGATGAAGGGCTGCATGTCCATCACCTCCTGCTCCGTGGCGTAGAGGCTCATCTTCTCCACCAGCCGCTCGCCTGCCTCCATCCGCCGCAGCACCCCTTCCACGCGCTGCAGCTCCCTCGCCAGCTCCCGCCGGCCCTGCTCCTGCCGCGTCTCTACCAGCCCCAGCAGCTCCTCTTCCTCCCGCCGGATCAGCTGCACCAGCTGCTCCACGCGCTGCCGGATCAGCTCCCGCATCTCCCGCTGTGCCTGCTCCAGCCGGGCC